ACATGCGTACGTCACTCTGTGTATGTGGTGACTTGTTGACATTTTTTGTTGTTGTTGTAAGGTCGTTTTCGGCACTTGTTTCTGGGGCTGATGAGACTTGGGCAACGTCAAAACTGAAGTCTAGTTCGGGAAAGATGAAAAAATTGTTATTATGCATGGTTACCGGTATCCAGTGGTCCACACATTCCATGACGCGAAAGATTCCACAATCAGTTCGTACATCATCTTGGCGACATGAACTGACTGGACCGCATTAGGTAGGCATTTCGGTCAAGCGCAAATAGTTCACATATGACGTACAATTTAACTTATTATTTTTACTGGGTGCAATGTAATATGCTCTACTTAAAGTAGCTATCAAATGATTGTGAAAAAAAATGACAACCACTTCTTGAATCGGTTGGAATTTATGCATACAAGTTCGTACCTTCCTTTTTTTGTCTGCCTCGACCGGCAGTCCTCTTCAGTTACTATTGCTTCCCTCGTATAGCCTATATTCTTGCTATGAATCTGTCCGTTCTCTGGTTTTCTTAATGGAGAGGGCTTGGACTTAAGGTCATTCTACTACTTATGAGTAACCAACAATCGACAGTGCGAAAAAACGAGAACATTCTTTTTCTTTTTAAAGCTCATTGTTTGCTTACTTTATATCGACCAACTCATTCTTATGCAACTTTGCTTCAGGTAATATTTCCTAGTCTCGATAAAATAAACACTTTTTCTAAAGCCTTTTTAATTTATTGAGTCTAGACACTACTCACGAGTAGCTACCAACTGAGGCAGCAAAAATACGCATTACACAAGTTTTGAAGATGATGGCTTAGCTCGCCTGCAATGATGCCTCTTAAGACGGCAGAAGAATAGATCTATTTAAGTCACTTAGGACGGTCTACTCATGAGTAGTTTATAAGTTAAAACCAGGATTACTTTAAACTAGTATTCTCTCTTTTGAGATTAAGTCAATTTGTCTTGGACCAACAGTGCAATCTAATGTATGCGTTTTTGCTGACAAAATAGATCGTGGTCACAGTTGTCCAAACATGGCACTGCTAAATCTGAAGGACAGAGCAAATCAAATGGCAAATGAGATCATTCATTCCATTTTATGCTCGACCCCAAAGTGATCTTGTAATGCAGAGCTGCTGCCCGGTCCCCGGCAGATCGAGAAAAAAACTGAATAAGCCCAAACGAAAGTTGTACATGATGAAGAAGCTTAAGGCACTGGAAGGGTTCTCTTGAGAATGTACCCGAGACAATCTCCTTCCGTTGCGCGGAAAACGTGTTGGATTTTTTTCTGCAACATGATGAACATCCGCCGAGCAGGCAACCCATTTTGCTACCATATTGGTGCTGACGTGTCAGGAAACCTAAGCGAAGTGTTGCTACATGTTTTACATACCCGCATTGCGCAGAATTGCATCCGAATTGAAATTGAACCCAACAGAAACCTCTAACGCGAACGTTTGAGAACGCAAAATCAAGCGTCCCGACAGGATAAGCGTGAAATGTGTGCACTTGTAAACGGGAGCATAATGTCGACTCAGCGACCGTCGAGGCTGACACGACGAAGCAGTTGCTGGCCACTCACTTGCTCAACGGGAATCTGTGCCAAAGCCGACTGTGGCTTCGAGTCTGACCAGCCGGATTCGGGTCCAGGACCAGTTGGGATCAGATGGGAAGAGAAAGTGTCTTTCCACGAGTCTCTCGATGGGTTGTGTCAATAAATTTTACATTTCGTTTTTAGGGTCGACTCGAAGACAGTCGTAAATTGGCCTCGCCGAAGGTCGGAGACGGCTGGATCGCCTGGGAGAAGTGATTTTTGAAATGTGCGAAAGGATCATGGACTCATTGTTCCACGAGCTGAGAGAACGCATCGATGAGATTCGCATGCTCCACGATAGTTCACCGAGTCTGAAGGCTAGAAATGTGTCCGGATTCAGTCCCACCGGCTACTTTTCTCTTCTTCTTATCCTCTCAACGATACAGCTTATGAGCTGATTGGACATTGGTGCTTCACTTGCACGTTTGCAGACAATTGAACTGACAGAATTGAGGAAAAAGCTTTTTTAGGGTAGGATGCGACTTTCAGGTCAAGACTGTGTCTTTTTTTGGCATAAAATTTGCACGGGAGCTTTCTTACTTGCTTGCATAGAAAATGTTAATACAGTTATTTGACAGATTAGTGGACGAAAAATAGCTTAAATTGATGCTGTTCGGATTGACGGTTGGAATAAATTTAGAATTTTGGGAGGCAAGGTTGAGCGGAATTCAATGGAATCTTAAGGCCTAGTCATCTCATTTTGTTGCAAATTCCTAACAATCAGTCTTTAAATGATCCTGATCAATCTAGACTGACTCACATCGAAACAGCGGTAGATCTTGTGTAGAAAATTCATCCACTGTATGCACAAACGCACACACAGACACCTGATTAGATCGGCAAAGTTGTTTTGTATTTTATTGCAAGAATTCTACAGCGAGTGGATTCATTTGTATCCTCTTTGAAATAAACTTTTTCTTGATCTAACCACTCGATTTGTTTGCAAACATGCAGGCAAAACATAGAATGACCAATCAACTCACGAAATGTCTCGTTAAGTGGATAGAGTGAAGCAAAAAGAAACAGCCTATGGGTTTGGCGAACTGTCGTAAGGCATGGCGAAAGATCATCAGACGATTCAACGGGGTCGTGGAATGGTGCATTCAGGACTTTTTTGTCCAACTCGGCAGTCGCAACCGCTTTTGATCACGGGCATCACTTACAGTTGCTAATTAAGAGACTAAAAATAATTGGATACTACTAATGGAAAATAAGTAGCTAGGAAAAGGAAAGTCTAAAAAAGAGGGTGTGGCGTTTATGCGTAGTCAGAGTAAAGCGACGCATCGCATCATGGCTCTCTTTTCACACAAATTATCTCCTCTTTGTGGGGCTCGACATAAAAAAATGGCTTCCCACAAAACTGTGAAGCACCGTGAACGAAGGCAAGCAGACTTACTTTTGCTTGGTCTTCGGGACGAAAGAGTCGCCGAGTGCGGCTAAACGCTCCTCAATGCTCGGCAGTCCGTGGCAAAGTGGCGTCAGCTCCGGCGGGCCAGCCAAGTTGTCCGAAGAGAGGCTGGCGAGACGAGACCGTGAGCGGGTCCGGGTCCGAGTCCGCGTCCGAGACTGGGACCTTGACTGGGAGGGAGACTGGAACGGGGACTGGCAACGGACTGAGCTCGGCGACGAGCTGGACGAAGAGATACAACCGGGCGCCGGGGGACTCGAGGCCGGCCGA